TGAGACAACCTTGCTTGGAGTTATGTTGAAAAGCCCTATTTGGCTCCAGAGCTAGCTATGCATCATTTATCCATTGATCCAGCTATTGTTCCTATAAAATAACCATCTCAGAGAATGTAACCAAAATAGAGTAGATGATCATTGATGAGACCAAAAAACTTATCAAGGTTGGCTTCTATTTGGCTCCAGAGGTAGCTATGCATCATTTATCCATTGATCCAACTATTGTTCCTATAAAACAACCATCTTAGAGAATGTGACCAAAATAGAGTAGATGTTCATTGATGAGACCAAAAAACTTATCAAGGTTGGCTTCATTAGGGAGGTTTCCTACCTTCGTTGCTCGCAAACATCGTACATGTTTGGAAGAAGAACACACAAATGTGAGTTTTCATCAACTTTTAAAGCTTGAATAAGGCTTGCTTGAAGGACGATTTTCCTTTGCTGATACTGGAGCTTATGAATAGATGTTGCCTCCTCTCATGCAATATTCTCCTTCATGGATGTTTTATTTGATTACAATCAGATTTGGATAACCCAAGAGGAAGAATGACATTCAGTGTTTCGTACTCCTATCGACATCTTTTGCTAAAAGGTTATGTCATTCAACTCAAATAATGCCGGAGTGACCTATGAGTGTGTTACGACACACATCTTTACTGACCTATTACATCATCAAGTTGAATGTTACATTGGCGATGCATTGATTAAGATTCATTTTGAAGAGGATCATTTGTCAGACCTATGGGTTATTTTTGAGCGCCTTATAAAATATGATATGAAGATGAACCCGTTGAAGTGAGCCTTTGACACATCTTCTTGGAAGTTTCTCTTTATTATTTGTTATAGGGGCACTAAAATTGATCTTAGTAAGATTAGATCCATCATGGAGATGGAGCCTCTTAAAAGTCTATTGCAATTGTGTTCCCTTCAAGGGAAGCTTGCCTTTATTAGGAGGTTTACTTCTATCCTTTCTAGTTGAAGTCAGCCTTTTTTTGTATTGGCCAAGAAAAATATTTGTTTTCACTGGAATGAAGCATATCATGATATTTTTGATGATATTAAGCAATACTTACTAAATCCTCCAGTATTAGCAGCTCAAATCCTAGAAAAACTCATGATTCTATATATTGTTGCTCTAGATGAATCGATCAATATTTAATCACCCCATCAAGGGCATATCATGTCGATTCTAGAATTTTGCTTATTTGATTGATTCACGTCCATGTGGGATATCTTTAGCAGTGATCATTCTATTGGGTCCTCAATGAAGGTACCTTATACAAGTTGTATTGTTTCATATATTTGACAATTGAATGTCCTAGTCGACTCGAGAAATTTTTATTGCCTTGTCAGAAAAGCATATCGTATCAGTTTAGAACACCTTGTTTGTTTAAACAATCCACGTCTTCTAATCAGGTTGTTTTTAATATTCGATGCTAATCGTGATACCATCCTCAACAAGAGTTATCTTGCTTGTTTATGAGGAATCTCCAATGAGGATTATATCATTCATGCTTAATAAAATACCCCTGAGATCAGATTAGTTCATCTATCCTCTCTGATATTTCATTTGATTAGGTTGATTTTCACCTCATTGTCGATAAATTCTTGGTTCAGTCTGGATCGCTTCGATTGTCTACCCGATCCATATTTTCCAGTCAAAGTATTTTTTATGTCCAACTAAAACCTCGACATTTTCTCTATGAGAGTTTACTTAGCCGATTCTTATAGAGAGGTTCATTGATGCATACTCCGTGAGAGTTATCTCATTAGTTTATAAGGAATTTTTGGTGAGGATTATATCACTAATGCTTGTTAAAGCACCCTTCTGACTACCTTAGTTTATCAATCCTCTATAATGCTTTTGAATAACTTGGTTGATTTCCATCACCTTATTGAAAGACATATGGTAGTGGTTAAACCACCTTGATTGTCTAGTTGATCCATGTCTAGTTAGGATATCCTGATATCTAATGTTACCGTGATGCTTTATGCGGTAAGAACCACCTTGATTACTTCTTACTAAAGCATCTTATGCGCGAGATTGCCATGTTCATATAGCAATCTGACAATATTGTGATGCTTTATGCAATACAAATCACCTTGATTGCTACTTACTAAAGCATCTTATGTTGCTGGATTGCCATCTTCATCTAACATATGATGTCTCTTGAGCCATATGACTCTTTAGTCGGTTCTTTTATGAGAACATCTTGTCTTTTGACATCTTTAGATTTATAACCACTTATTATGATGTTTCTTGAGCCAAATGACTTTGTTCTGCTCTTTTTTGAGAACATATTGTTTTTTTGAATTCTTTGGCTTTATAGCCACTTATTACAATGTTTTTTAAGCAATATGACTCTCTAGTTGGCTCATTTACTAGAACATCTTATCTTTTGGCATTTTCGGCTTTATAGCCACCTAATATAATACCTCTCGAGCTGAATGACTTTTTAGTCGATTGTTTTATGATAATATATTTTCATTTGACATTTTTAGCTTTATTGCCACTTGACCTTGACGCTTTTCTACAAGACTATATGCGACTTTCTAGTCAGTCCTTCACACGAGAGCATAGTAGAAGACTTGGGTCACACAAGATGACTGAGCATTCTCAGTTGACCACACTGTCTAGTCATTGGTTAATTGTGATTTAAATCAAAATATATTGGGCTTTATAGCTACCTGACTAAACTATGGGTGCTTCACTCGACAAGAACCATATACAACTTTCTAATCAATTATTCGTATGAGAACATAACAGAGAATTTGGTCACACAAGATAATCGAGCCTTCATAATTGGCCACACTGTTTAAGTCACCGGTCAGTTGCCAATTTAATCAGGATAGCTCAAACTTTATAGTCACCTGATTGTTATGATGGGTGCTCTTTTGAGGGGAATCATACTGTTGCAGTTGGTTCCTTTAGCAAGAACATAACAAAATACTTGGTTACACTTTGAAAAGGTTTCCCTATTGCAGAAGTGGTGAAATATATTATATTAATTGTAGAAAGTCTTTTTCCTAATGTAGGAATTGGTAAATTGGAAAGAGCGAGATGATTTTTTTCTTATTTTGGTTTTAAACCTTGTGGCTCTACACATGGGATAAAGCGGGTTATGCATATTTAGTTGTTTTGCTTGCGTTGGAGTGAACTATGCTGATCCAACTAGGTTGGGATTTTAAATGGAAATTGATGAGATTGAGAACAATATTTAAAGGCTTGTTTAGGGGTCGGGGATTTAAATCAGAGAGGAGAAAGTTACAGAAAATGTTAGATATGAAGCCTGATTGGGACCAGGAGAAGCAATCAACAGGAACTAGCGTCTGGGGGTGCCTTACCAAATGCTTTAGGACTTGGCATGCAAAGGCATCACTCAAGAAGGTTGCAATGGTGTATAGAGCACATTTTCAGCTTTCCAGAAGTAGAGTGTTAGGAAACTCGATTCTTGGGACAGACGATCAAACTCATGAAACACTTATAACAATATTTGCATTCAAGTCCTCCATGCAGAATTCAGAGTTCTCTCTTGACAATGCACAAGTAAGTAGCATGAAATGGTGTATGTGAGTTGTGAGTGGATGTCTGGTGCATTTCTTTTGTGGGATCAAGGAGCGTTTGTGAGTTCCAAGATTGCATGGGGGATTTGAGTGTGTTGTAATATGTAAAATGAATATTATCATAATTTTAATATATTTTTTCACTTTTTTTAGCACACTTGATATTCACTGTTAAGTGAGATGTGTATCTTATTTTTTGTATTGTTCTGAAGTGGTTTTTAAATTCTAATTCTCAACCATCAAATATATTGCTATGATAGTTCTGTTGCAAATAACATTAGTGCACAGTGACAGAATGATCATTTATCTATAAACAACCGTAAATCAGCTATTTTCTACAACACAAACCAAACAACTAAATTCTCAACCATCAAATATATTACTATGATAGTTCTGTTGCAAATAACATTACTGCACAGTAACAGAATGATCATTTATCTATAAACAACCGCAAATCAGCTATTTTCTACAACACAAACCAAACAACTGACCAACTTATCCGGATAAGTTGCTGATCAACAACTTATCTGATCAACTGCTTGTGAGCAGCTTATTAAATAAACTGCAGTTGTCCCAAACAAACCCTAAAATTTAGACAATTTTTTTCTCGCAGATGGAGTAGACAAACTTCAAATCACACGTACTAAGGGCTCCTGAGAGGAGATTTTAATGGGTAAAAATCCCAAGTAAACATGCTAGAGCTAAAATAAATATGGTTGTTATATTCGCTATATTTTTTTCATCAACTCTAATTAGCTTTGATTAGGGCTGTTAATTTAGCTCGTTGTTCGTTGTTAGGCTTAACGAATGAGCCGAACACGAATAAATTTTTAAGCTCGAAATATAAACGAGTCGAATACGACCAACAGTTTGTTCGCTCGTGTTCGGCTCGAAATGGCTCGAAAAAAATTATATAATTTTTTATATAACAATATATTATATATATTTATGTCTAAGTTTAAATCATAACACCTCATGTGACAATGTGGTTACTGTCTTCTTTTGTATAGATTTGATCTAGGTTTGAATCTCACACTTTACATCTATTTTTTTCAATTTTAGTTTAACTAGCCAATTTCAAGCAGAACACGAGCCGAACACGAATACAAATATTTAAATCGAGCCGAACACGAACACACTGTTCACGAGCCGATTTCGAACAC